TTTATTTGCTTGCTTCCTTTTCTTGGTTTTTGGCAGAGGGGGCTGTGTGTGTGTTTTGTTTTGCTATCCCCCCTGTGTATGTGGGTGTTTTTTCTCTTTGACTAATTTTTAAAATCTACTGCCTTTTCTTTAAAGATGTATATTTTGCTGGGCTTTTTGGATAAGGAAATGTTTTGTTTGATGGTAGTGTTTGTTGGTTGTATTACTGCCTGTTTTTGAAATACAGTAGATTGATTCTCTGTTACCTTGCCTCTGCTTTTGGGGGTAATTTTTATGAATTCTTTAGAGTGTTTGTTTGTTTTCCCCTCCTTCCCCCTCCTTTTTTACTAGCAGCAAGAAACATGAATGAGGGGAAATGAAATGAAATTACCTGAAAGTGGGGACTTATTTCATGTTAAATGAGAGGAGTGGTATGCAAAAAATGTGATAGTGAAGGAAGCACACTCTGAAGGAACCCAAAATTAAATCAAAAGGAAAGATTCACCGTGCACATCTTTAGACATTAACAACACATCCTTCCTGGGGCAAATGGCATATGTATTTTATATGTATGCTGTCAGCTTTCTGTAGAGACAGAGAGAATATTTCATTTATATGGAATATAGCCTTATTTAAATAAAAGCAGAGTTATAGTAAATGAGTATACAGGTATATCCCACAAATAAATTGAGAAATGAATATTCATATATTAGTGGTATTTGAATCACTTTCCCAGAGCTTTAGTGATAAGCAGAACTCTGGTGCATTTTCCCTTAATGGCTTGTATCGGGGATCATTCTGACTCTTCTAGCTTGCAAGTTAATTACTATAGCACAGTAGGATGTCCTACTAAGTGCTGCATTGTGCTTGATATTCACCATGGTTTTTGACAAAAATGCATAATGTACTGTCATTATGTCTCAGAGCTTGCACTGTAATAGAGTAATTTATCTTGGTTTTAAAAACTTTTTCTGGCACCCCAGCTTCTAATTTTTTTTTGCCAAACTTCAAGATAATGTGTAATGCATACTTTTATAGTTGCGTAAACGTCTTGCAAAATTACAAATGCTGTATGTCTTGCTTAATTTTCAGAATTAGATGTGCTTAGCATGTTAAACTTGTGACTCTTAAATTCTGAGTCCCCCCCAAAGAGAGCCAATCATATTAACAACCTCCCATGCTGATGTAATCTGTATTCCTGACTCCAAGAGCAGAGCGTATCTGTATGTTGCTCAGTCATATGCCAGTTTTGATGACTAACATAGCTCGTTGCTTTTCTGTGCATCAACTGTTGCAGAGGAAGCTAACAGGCTGTGAACAGAATTCTATCCATGACTGCATCTATAAGACAATTTGTGGAAGAGAGTGAGAGACAGGGATGGGGATGGTAACTCTTTATGTCATTCTATCCCTGTGCATTCCACCTAATGGAGATGATGTGGGGCTTTAAAAAGGAAGAAAACAGGGTTGCAGTGATAAGACAGGAGCTAGGACAAATTGACTGCAGATCTCAGAAAATCTTGGAGGAATAAGAGGAGGCAGCCCCAGAGGTTTGCTGTTCTCTAATTATCATATGGAGCCAGTATAAAAACAAATATGTTTCCATGTGTGTTTTAGAGCAGTGGTCCCCAACCTTTTCCGATCATGGACCGGTTTAGCGTGTGTGTGTGTGTGAGAGAGAGAGAGAGAGAGAGAGAGAGAGAGAGAGAGAGAGAGAGAGAGAGAGAGAGAGCGCATCTGGAGATCTGTCTCTGCAGTCAGGTCCTGCAAAGGCCACGGCCCAGTACCAGGCCACAGACCGGGGGTTGAAGACCCTGGTTTTAGAGGACAAACATATATCTTGCATGGGTGGGCAAGGAGTTTTGTCTTATGTGCTAGATTGGTGAAAACAGCATTGTGGTATGATTTACAGCACTGCTTCAATCCTTCAGAGCATATTCTCTCAAGTTCTGTTGATTTTGATGAAAATCCAGGATCAACTTAAGTATGAGTATAAGTTTCATTTTGATTTCTAGTGTATGACTAAATTACATTTTATGTGTGAAGTTGTCCTTTCCTTAAATTAACCTCAGGGGTCCAGCACTGGCTAGCGAGTCAAGAAGATCTACTTGTGTTTTGTTTTTTATGAGGGGGGGCACTTGTTTTCCTTATCTTCTTTCTTGGTTGCCTCTATGATCCATTGCTAGCATCTTGGAACAGTGAGTTCATAAAGTGACATCAAACAAGGGAAAATCCCAGAAGCTGACTTATTTATTCATCAGTTAATCAGGTCTCCCCCTAATGCAAAACAATTGTCATGGCACAAAAGGGTATCCTGTCAATCATCTTGACTGCTGCTATTGGTGTTGTCAACGTTCAGCTGCTCTTTGCTTTGTAACACTTGGCATCCTTTTTGCTGCTTCTGATATGGATAGCTCAGTGGTTTAGGTATCTGGTTGGAAGTTTGATTCCCCACTGTGCCTTCTTGATAGAGGCAGGTCTTGATGATCCATAGTGTTCCTACCAGCTCCATAGTTCTAAGATTGTTATGATTGTATATTATAATACTGGGCCATTTTGTGGTGTTTTGAATTGTGGATACAGAAGCATAATAGCCTACATTTATAAAATGGAAGGTTGTTGTTGTTTAAGAATGGTCTAAAGGTGAGAGCCTGATGGCAGAATTTTGTGGGTTGCATTCTTGAGATATGAACTTGTTATATAAGAATAGTGGAAAAAAGACTGGAAAAAAGTCCAACTTTGTAGATTTAACAATAAAAGACTGCATATTTTTGATTTCTGTATTTATTGAATCTTGTTTTATATCAGCTGCTACATGGGATAGTGAAGGAAATGAGAAAGGCTTGGTCTCAAGAGTGATCCCTACCTAAATATTTTCTGCATGACTGTACTCTGATAGAGAAGTTATATTCCCCTTCGGAATGACAATCAGAAGAAACCAAAATAGTTAATTTTGATTTGCTTTAAAAAGCACATCAAACATTGTTTGAAATTTATTTTCCTTCTATCCACCTCATAAATAGAACATGAGGCAGTGGCAAACACAAGATGAGCTGGCACTTGAACCAGCTGGCAGTATTCCTCCATTGCTTAGGAAGCCCCTCTCCCCAATTCTAAAAGTAAAAGTTACAGTTGTGCAAAAAAAGTCCATTTTACTCTGGGTAAGTTACAATTATAATGTAACTTATGTCTTTGGTATTGAAAAGGAAATTGATTACAAGTAATTGCTACTTGTTTTGCAAGGTTTCTTTTGGAAAATGGGGAGCTATAATACAATATCAGTAATGATATTGCCTGGCTATAGGGCAGCTTTTCTGTGTGGTCTTTGCTGTTTGAAGCCATACTTACTGGGAAAGCTGGAGCAAATGAAAAAGAAGAGCTGAAAATGGGATGAATTGTAGCATCCCAGTAAAGAAAGGGCAGTTGGTTGGTAGCACAGTGATCTGCCCATTTAGTAGGGTTAACAGATTCATCCACCTTAAATTCCTGCTGGGTAAATCATGAACCAGCCTGCTGGTTAAAAGCAAAATCTCTCTCTCTCTCTCTCTCTCTCTCTCTCCCTCTCCCTCTCCTCCCCCCGCCCCGTAAACTGTGACCTAAAGCAGTGGAACACAAGATTACCAGAAAAACTATTCCTGGGGAGAATTATAGTTAACATTTTTTGTGAAGCAGGATTAGTATGCCCTATGTGAACATGAATTCAGAAATGTCGATGGATGGCAGTTGATGGAATAAGGCTGTTTTAGCAAATGGGAGTAGGCTAAAGCTCTGCTGCTTGGAAAAATATTAATTATTTCTTTGAATGATTTCTTCTTTATAGCAGAAGAGCATCTGTGTGGCAGGTGTCAAATCAAAGAGCTGGCGATTGGGTTGTTGAATTCAAATTATTTCCTGGTTATCTTCAGCTTATCCCTCTACCTATATGTTGAACAGGCACCATCATCTTGTAAAGTAGCATTTGTCGTAAGGATGACCATAACCCAAACTTTCAAAATTGTGATTCAGGTTTTAAAACTTGCAAGGTGTAGAAATTGAAAAGCAAGTCAGGGAGGCTCCTATTACTTGGCCGTAAGTGGTAAACCTGAAAATTAAGTTGTCATGCTGTCTGCCTCTGTAGTGATGGCTACACATTGTCTTTTAATAAAATCTGATGGACCTTGTATATTGTCCAGCTACTTTGTAATAAGTTATAATATGTGCCCATCAAGTCTAGTATTGTTTTGTAGCTGCTGTTCAGGGTTTTAAGCAGGATTTTCCCAGTCCTTCATTCAGAAAGCAAAACAGAAACACAAACCTTACCTGTAGTATCAGTTAGTCTACATGGTAGCACTCCTGTATTAATCTATTTCCCATCACAAGTAATTAGAATAGATTGCCCACTTAGTACAAACCTGAGGTGTTTTCCCTCTATATCAGAAAAGGAACTTGTGTACATATCTCCCTCTAAACAACAAGGGTGATGCAATTTGTAGTTTTTTTGACATGTACTTGTGTGATAAGCACTGTCCTTTTTTTTTTTTTTTTTTTTGCTTTTCTCCTAAAACTGTGGTTGCTGTAGTGCAATGACCTACAGTATTTGTGAATGCAGAAGATCATTGCTTTAGCTGAAGAGAAAATGTTTCCTGGTCATAACTTTGTAGTTAATCATGTTTCTTGAAAAGTAGTAGAAAAGAAGATCTAATAGATTGCATTGTCTCTCCAAAAAACCTGGGATGTAATACTCAGTTTTCATTCAGACTTGTTTTAGCGATAAAGATTATTTCTCTCTAAGTTTCAGATAATTTCTGATAATTTCTGCATGAATGTTGTTACCAGTATAGTCTGCTGCTTCAGCCATCTTTTGAGCAGACTCTTTAGTTGCATGCTGTGCAGCATTAGTGCTGGCTGTTTGAAGCTTTTAGTGTGTGAATATGTGCCATCTTTCACAAGCATACACAGTTTTGTACCTGCCAAGTTATGCAAACCAATGTGTTTTTGTTGGAAATTGGTTTAAATGAGGTTTTTTTCTTCTCTCCCTCCAGCTGTGAATGAAAAGAGCCACACTCTGCAGCACATACAGTTTTGCTACCTTTGAAAAACTGTGACATCTAGAAATGCCGCCTCCTGCGGATATTGTGAAAGTAGCTATAGAATGGCCTGGTGCCTTCCCGAAGTTAATGGAAATTGATCAAGTAAGTGCCTGTTTCAATGCATTTGTTCTTCTCTCTGCATGTTTATACAGATGGCTTTTACTATTATTTCTGGATTTAAAGGCCCCTTCCAACTCCATTACTCTATGGTTCTGTGATCATGTCTAGATAACCTGAATATAAATATGGAACTACCAGCCTCCCCTTATGTAAATGAAACATTTGCCATGAATTTTGGATGCATTCCTCAGCATTTTACTGAGCGAAATTGTAATGTTTGTAATGAAGTGTATGCTTGGATTATAAATACCGTATTTTTCCGTGTACAAGACGCCCCATGTATAAGACACCCCCCAAGTTTCTAACCCCAAATTAAGAAATCTAAGTGGGGCTTAGCAAGTATAGGGGAGAAGGGATCAAAGCACTGCAGAATCACTTTGATCCCTGCTTTCCCCTCCACTTGTGTTCTCTCCTCAGCTTACTTCCGTTTATAAGACGACCCTCAATTTTTAGTCTAAAGATTTTAGACAAAAGTATAGTCTTATACATGGAAAAATACGGTAAACAAGAGTGATATTTTAGAAATAAAGTAATTTGCATTAGATGTGCAGCATCGCCAGTGTCCTGTTGCATAGCTACACTGGCATAGTGGAAATGGCATCAGTGGCAGTGGCTAATTGCTGCTAATGAGAGTTTTCCTTCAGTTTTGGGTTGCACACACCAGTGTAGGTATAAAACAGGTGCTTGGCTGGTGTTCTGGCTATGTAATATCAGGTACCTTGTCAGATTTTATGGACTGTCCCCACCTGTCCAAACTGCCCAGTGGGCCCTAATAAATGGGAAGGGTTGTGGTTTGGTCTGTGATCTTCTCTGAGCAGTAACAAATTCTAGCTTGGACGTGATTCTGTGTGTCCCTTAGTTGATTCTGGGTTCATCTTTGTGCTGTCTTCAGCTCAGCGCCACATAGGCATAAAGTGGGGGAAATGGAGGCTGACAGTTAAAGTCAATTTAATATAAAATTGGTTGTTGTGGGTTTTTCGGGCTCTTTGGCTGTGTTCTGAAGGTTGTTCTTCTGGACGTTTCACCAGTCTCTGTGGCCGGCATCTACAGAGGACCGGAGTAAGAACTCAGTCCATGCTCTGTTGCTGTTTGTTGGATAGTTGAATATTTATAGCTGTGAGAACAGCTTTTGTCACAACAAAACAACAGCTTTTATCACAACAATACATCCACAACAAAAACACGCTGATCGCCACCATCACCCTATCTCCTGAAAAGGACCATCAGATCCCAGCCGTGAAAGCCTTCAAGAATAATATAAAATTATTTATAGCTTTACTCTGAATTCTTGTTCACACCGTAGTTATAGCGTATCCTGAGAAATGTAACTGTTCATCACTTCCTCCTTTATATTAGCAGAAATCTTATTGTCCCAGGTCCTGGTTGGCCTAAGGAACAGTCTTCCAGTGAGCATGATGGCAGCCCTCCACATTTTTTTTCACTCCGAGTTGCCCTTGTCTGTTATTTCTCTATTTGAAAGGGACTCGATAACTGAGCATAAGAACCAGTAGATGTAGTTACTTTTTTTGTAGGTTTCTTCTTGACAGGAGGCTCTCCTGCTGCTATTACAGAGACTTAGAGTCATTGTATCTTTTAGGTAGCACTGTGCCAAATACGTTTGAGGCTTTATTGCTTCAAGGCAGATATTCAGTTATTTTTTTCCCTTATGAATGGGAAATAGCACTCAGTTTCCAAAATAACCTATAATGTTTTCTTTAGTTTCCCCACTGTAGTTTGGATCAGAAAGAAGGCCAGTAAAAGTACCCATTTTACATGAGCACAGATTCGTTCTTGTGGTGTCTACCCAGGTCATGAATATCAATATGCTATCTGCATGTAACAATGAGAGTGCTGGAGAGGTGGAGTCACGAGATATAAGGGTCTCTGCAGGAGGAGAAGACAAGAGGATGGTGAATTGGGATTTTTGGTGGAGACAGATTGCTAAGCAAGGGCTGATGTGTAATGAACCAATGCAGACCTCTAATGACTGTTTAGTTCAGAACAAAAGATATTGGCTTAACCTTTTTTCTTTGTTACAATAAACTGTTTCTGCTTTATAGAAAATGACACATTGCCTGGACCTCTGTCAGTGACATTGAAAGTTGTTGTGAGCAACTAGTGGCAGCTGAAAAGCTTGTGGCGTGAGCCTTTGGTGAAACAAGGGGTGCGCAGGGAACGTGACAGTCCTCCACTCCCCTTCCTCACCCAGATCCACAGCTCAGACTACATTTAGCCTACGGCAAAAGAGATCATGTTAATGTCTTGTTGGAAGCTGTTCCTGTGTGCCAAATTCAGCTGGCCTTAGGAAGATTTGCAACAACATCCCAATTTGCAAACTGTATACTGTGTATGTTGCGCAGTCCAGTATGGTAAAGAAAAGAGGCAAATGTGGGGAAGGAAGGTGTTATCTGGCCAGATTCTTAATGTAGCAAATTACTGAATGCAGAACAGCCCTCCCAACCTGATGTCATCCATATCTTATGTATTATAACTTTCATCATATTACCATGTGCCACACTGACAGTGGTTGATGAGAGCTGCAGGTCACTACAGCAAAAGGCTGCCTGGTTAGAGAAGGCACAGAATATGAAGGAGTTGCCTAGATGTATGTAGTAGCACAAAAAAAGAGCACTGGAGATATATGATTTATTTTTCACTGTACCAGGGCATTACTGTTGATGTAACTAGATATAATGATGGCCTTCAGGGAACTGTATAGTAAAAGCTTCCTCCAGTTCTGTTTAGCATTGTCTTACAGCATTAAAACTTTCTGTTAATGTTTCTTGCTTGTGCTGTTATTGCTTGTACTGGTGCATCTCAGAACGAATTTACATTTATATTAATACGATTAAAAACCTGAATAGAAAGCATATAGTTATTAATCTCTCTTTCAAACCTTACTGCCTTTGGTAGAAGCTTTGGGAAATTTAATAAAGGTTTGCTTTTTGGCCCCATATAATGAACTGCACATTATATAGTATGCAGGACTTCTTGGTAAGCTTTTCCTTAAGTACTGACTTCTTATGCCTAGTCAGATGCTTGGTAACTTCCTGGCTACTAGGGCTTTGCTTTCTTTTTTATTTGTCACTTGTGTTGCTCTTCAGTGCAATGTGTCCTGTTAAGAGAGGATTTCTTTGTCAATTTTGGGGGAAATAAAATTAGTCTTTTGCAATGTGTTGCTTTTATATATCAGAATATTGTTGCATATTTATCAGTTGACATGCTCAGTTCACTCAATGGTTAGAAATTCACCGAGAAAGAGAAGAGGGGTAATTGATGCGTACTGGAAAAATTTAAGGATGAAATCCATAGTACAGCAAAACATCATGGTATGGTGTTGAAAGACAAGTCCAACATCTCAAAGAGGTGAGGCTATCTGCCTTCAAACAATCCTCCACAGGTCACCTTAGTAGTTGGCTGTTTGAATTTAGACATTTTATTTCTCTGAAACTAAAATAACAAAAAGCAACAGCATAAACATCCTGGAAGCGTCATCATTCTATATGATTTGGGGTTCACATGAAGATAGCCAGAGCTACAGCATTCATGCAGAATAGGGAACCTGTGGTCAAACATGGGAGAAGTTAGGGTTCAGTACAAAAATAACAACATTAAGAAAAACAATAGGGAAGGGACTACAGTCAAACAACCCTGTGATAATTCAGTGTCGCATGGGAATCAAAAAGCTCACGTCTAAGAATATTGCAGCGAGAAGTACAGCCTGGTATATGTTGAGGACAGTATACCTGTAGCCTCGTGGTGAACTTGCATGAAATGTTATGCAGATTAGTCCAATACAAAGTATACCTTCTTCATAGTGGCCTCTGTGAATCCACTGCGAAGAAGGTATACATGTGCTTTGCACACTGAAATGTGGCTCCTCCCTTTGGGAATAGGAATTTGAAGCAAGATCCTCTGGCCTAAATCTACCATCCATAGTCCTAATCAGTGGTTTAAACATCTGGCTGTGGAACCAAAGGTTGGAAGTTTGATTGACTGTGAAGCCAAAGGCTGAAAGATTGATTTTACCATTTGGGCTCCTTGACAGGGACTGGACTTGATGATCCATAGGGTCCCTTCCAGCTCTGCAGTTCTAAGATTTATCTACTTGTGCATTTTATGAAAGTGGATTTTGGAGAAGTACAGTTTATCCCGCTTCTGTAGTTTTGTACAGGTTGCCACCAAGTATGTGGAAGTGTTTGCTTTTGATCCAACTTTAGCGGAATTTGATTTCAGCATAAAATTCAGAGCAGGCCTAATGGTATTTCTATTTGGATGGCAGGGGTAAGTCATAGTGACTTTTCTATGGTGGCACTGTACTTATGGGATGTCCTACTACAATATGTGTGCAAGTTTCCCTCTTTGAATGGACTTGAACAAATCTTAAATACTTTTTTGTTTTGGGTTGTGTTTAATTGAAAATAGGTTCACTTTTAAACAGTGATTTTAGTGCTGTGGCCCATTTCAAGTTTTGTATTTAATTAAATGTACTTCATACTGCGGTATTTTTCCATGTATAAGCCCCCCATGTATAAGACACCCTCCAGTTTTCTAACCCAAAATTCAGAAATCTATATTTTAAGCATTAGAGAGGAACACAATTTTATTTAGTAATTAGGCAACATTTACATGCCAGTACTATGATATTATGCATCACCCTTACTGGTCACTGTTGTACTACCTACACCAGTGATGGCTGAGCCCGAGTGCCCAAACTGCAAAAAAGATACATAGAAATCTTTTAAATTAATAGCTTCTTAACCACAGCATTAAAACACAAGACCATTTCATGTTAGGATGGATCCTTCTCTTCCTCAAAGCATTTTGAGAACTTCCTCTTTAAAATAGAAGATATTGTGTGGGGGCAGAGTAAGGGTTAATAGAAGTAGACTTCAGTAAATGAAAGGAGGAAGCATAGATATGTAAAATGATTTATTTTTCAATTGCTCATAGCACACTGAGTATACAAGAACTGGGTACAC